GGCGCGGGTGCTTTTTCACACCTGCGGTTGATACGTGACGGCAGCGTGAAGGGGTCAGACAACCAACGAGCGACCGCACGGAAACTAAATGTGCAGTACACGGGAATTCTGAGTGTGTGCATACTAGGAGTGTAACTTTGGACATACTGCAATATGTGTCTGCAAGTAGTGTGCGATGGTCACAAACTTGGATTGGCTGTCTAATCTTATTCCGTCCAGTCCGACCAATTATTACCGCCCGTTCCCTTTGAACCGATGCGCTGCTCACTTTCAAACGTTGCTTTCCAGCAGTGTGCGGGCCAACGTTTTGAGGTGGTGAGGCCGGTTGTGAAGCCGCTCGCTACACCAATAAACTGGCAATCACGCCGGTGTTTGACATACACCGGGGGAGAGTGTGGGACGCGCGGCCGACACGAACACGGTGTGACGCGTGTGGATTTGGTGTTTTTGTGGCCGACACGTTTTAACAAGGCTGGGAACACGGGCTACAGCGACGACGACAACAACAAAGGGGGCTGCCGAAAAGAGCCTCGCTTGGCGCCTCCCCGTTCTGTCCACGCCGCGCCCTGCCCGCCCTGCCTGCCTCACCGGCCAGTCGGCCTGCTTGTCCAGCTGTCAGAGTCACGGCGCGAGAAGGGCCGCGCCGGCCCGGGCGATCCCTCTCCCCTGCGCCCCGCGCTGCCCCGCGCCCTGGTCGATGCGATGCGGCGCGCAAAATAAAAGGAAATAAGAAAGAGGTATCATCGCCGTGCCGCTTGCGAAGGCATCACTGCGACAGACGGCTGTTGTGTGTGTGTGACAGAGAGAGAGAGAGAGAGAGAGAGAGAGAGAGAGAGAGAGAGAGAAGGGAGAATGTGAATGTGGCTGGCTGTGTATGTGTCGTTGGTGGGAGACTGGGAAAGAGGAGAAAAAAAAGGATGAGAAATAAAAATGCGGGGGGTGTTGGGGCAGGTGTCGTCGCTCTTATTTACGATGCTGTAAAGAGACGCGCGGGAGAGCAATGCGCCCCGGCCTCCCGGGCCTATGGTCTGGACCTCTGGACACCCAAACAGCGCCGCGCCGGGCTGCGGGGAGGATAGCTTCTGTCTGTTCTGTAGCTCCTGGCAGGGAAAGCCGCGATTTCGTTTGAGTTATGCATGTCGACGTCGGGCGGACCTGTGTGCCACCCACCTCCATAACGCAGCTTGCTCTTTTACAGAACATGGAGATGAGGCTGCTGGTCCTGCTGGCGCTGGCGCCCCTGCTGACGCGGTGCGCGCGCCTGGAGCACGTCCCCGACGGCACGGGGCTGGTCGGCGGGCCGCCGGACCGGCCGCTGCAGCAGCTGCTGCCCCTCAAGATGTGGGCCAACCCCCGGCGGTCGCAGCTGCGGCCGCGGCGCAAGGACCTCCGCGAGGACACGCTGCTCAACATCCTGGGCGAGGACTACCAGCCGGGTTGGATGCGGTGGTCCCGGGCGGCCGGCAGTCAGGTGGGTAGAATCTCGTAACACTCGTGTCACACTTCTGAGACTCATCTTGTACCAAGTGGCTTGATAAGCCCCGCGCCCGCATTCGCAGTTATACTGTGCCGCATGCAGGCGTGCGGGCTGGTTGCCTATTCGTACGGCGCAGCAATGGAAGATGTGATGAATGTTAGCTTTACCAATCAGCCAACTCGTGCATACGAGTACATCTACTACGTTAGCCATTAGCCTGGGTCACAACCCCTTTGACGTCCACAACTAACGTTCTTCTGCCTCTCTTCCCCCAGGAGTACCCCGTCGAGGAGCGGGCCGCGGTGCGCGCCCTCCGCGACCTGGTGGACGGCGAGGAGTCGCCGCCGGACCTGCGCCTGCCCGCGGGGCTGACCTCTGAGGCGCGCGCGCTGGTCAAGGCGTGGCTGGTGCGGCGCGCCACCTGCCCCGTGCGCTTCGTGTGGGCCGACCTGGGCCCGTACTTCTGGCCGCGCTGGCTGCGTCGCGGCGAGTGCGGCGTGGAGCCCAGCGGCGACGAGCAGGACGAGGACAACATGACGACCAGCCGGCGCGGTGGCGTCAGCGGCGTGCTGCGCGAGGACGAGGACGACGAGGACGAGGACGCCGTCGACGGCGCGCCGCGCAGGGCCAACGCGACGAGCACGCTGTCGTGCTCCTGGCCGCCCGGCATGAAGTGCGTGCCCGGCCTCACGCGCACCCTGCACATCCTGCGCTGGCACTGCCGGCTGCGCAAGCTCTCCCAGGCCACCAGCTTCAACGCCATCTGGTCCGCGCCGCCCGAGAAGCCGCCCTCGAAGATGGACGGCAGACAGAAACGGAGCAAGTACCGCTGCACCTGGATCAAGGTGCCGTACTCGGTGCCCGAGGACTGCGTCTGCTCCGTGTAGTGCAGCGACGCAGAGTGTATATTATCCACATTCGATATGGATATGTTGATGAAGACCTCGAACGTGATTAAACAACCTCGTATAAGGCGTAGTTAAGTGTCATCAAAGTATTACATATATTTTCTCTTAAGTATTTCGACTGAAAATTATGCGAAATGGTTATCGCTTTCTTTACAAATGGGATATTATGCATTACCCGAAGTCTATTTTCAGCTTGCTTACGAGGATACGCGTCTGTGAAATTAGATAAAATCTTCTGTAATCGCCGAGAGCGCAGAAAAGCGAGTGCTAACTTTTATTTATTATAGTCATTCTGTTTTAGATATTTAGCAGAGAAGACTGTTCTAGTTTTTTTAAATTGTATACTGTATGAGTATATACCTTGTTTGTTATTGTGTGTTTTTGTATATGTATTGTGCAGTTGCTTGAGCAAAGCGCGCTGTGGCACTTCGTGATACTTAGATTTTTAAAATTCGTATCTACTAGTTCAGGATAGGGAGTAAAGACTTGTAGAATAGTTAATTTAACAATGGCGATATAGATCGTTTCTAACAAAGTTTTTGTGTTTAATAATCCTTGATATGTGCAATGCCATAGCCATACCATATTCCGGAAAGTAGACCATGCAGGCAATATACAGAGGGATAAAATAAATGTCGTATAATGCAACAATGCTACAGTCCAAGAGCAAGATTTTTTTAAGACAATTATGACTGTCGTTTTGCTTATAAATTTTAATAGGTCTGTAATAAAGAAGATTCCTGTGATTGACTCGCTAGGTCTTACGTTTTAGATATTTATTCAACAAATAAATACTCCAAAAAATTGTCATTTTGATTCTTCTGTCTCAAATTGTTAGAGCTTAATTTTACGCTTAGACGGAGCGTTGAAGGATTGTTCTTTGTCCAAGGCCAGGCACTGTCCAATCTGCAATCGAAAAGTACACTTCTTTGTTTTTGTCTGTTAAGACCGAACTCGTTGGCCGCTTGGCTCAGCGGACACATTTCACTATGTTCAGAGCGCAGGGGTCTCTGCATTTCAGCGTTCGTTCGAAGTCATCAATTGATTTGAAATTGACTGTCAGTAAGTGAGAGCGAGATGGATAGGGCACAACCACTACTTGTATGCACCCAGAGAAGCCTGTTCTTGAAAATTTCATGTGACGATAATTCCAATCTCAATTTGGCCTTCAACCAAGATCATTTCGTTTCAGTAAAGCGCAAAGAGGGCGATTTTTAAGAACAAATTGGGGTGGATTTGGGCCCAAGCCCACGCCTCAAGTACATGTGGTGTACTGGTGTACTCGAGGGTGGAAGGGTAAGAGATGGTCCACGAGTGGTTAACTTTGAAGACTGGTTTATTCGCAGACCGACAGGTGTATATCAAGACAATAACAAGTGATGAACACTGAGTGGTGCCAACTTAGATACACAACAGTACAAATTGTACTTGCTGTCAGCAAGATCATTGCACTCAATTCAAGTAAATTACGCTTGATCCCAGAATTGGATTTTCTGGATGTGGCGAATTTAAAGGTGCTTTTTGTCACGTGGGGCTCCATAAAATACTCGCAAAGCCGAAATCAGAGAGGTATGATTACCCCGACAACTCTACAGGGTACAGGGTGACTCAAACACTCCGGCGAGTTAGAAAAAAGTATATTGACTCCATGACGTCAAACGGACATCAAAACACGTCATTGACTTCAAAATCAATAATCAATATAGTAATTTATTATAAGGGAGATCGTCAGTACCCAAGGGCAAGGGCTCAGGGTATTAATTGGCATTTCTGACTAAAAATCGCATCATTCACGGGAAGGTACAACAACTCTGGGATAATGCTTATTCGGAGTAATAGTTCTTTCATCAAAATAACAGAAGTTTGGGCCAGCATAAATTTTGTCGTTAAAGTCCGTCGTTGGTTCAAATAAATTAAATTGTTTTGGTCAGTCTATCTCCACCCATTGACATGGCGTGTTTTAAATTGCGTCGTGATTGTCTCTAACGATGATGGCGCCTTACGGACCCAAGTAACACACAGCATACCGAACTGTATACTTAAGACACACAAGGAAGAGTGTACTTGTAAGCACACATATAAATGCGTAACTTGCCATAGTACACACATACAGGGTGGGTAGTTTTTTTCTGCTTATACTGTACCGTATTCATGCGTGCGGGTGGGCTTGCCTATCGTCGCTCGCCAAGGGCGCCTTGCGGCCCCGTGGGAGTATGCAACGCGTCCGCACGCATGAATGCGGTACAGTATACGTAAGCAGAAAAAAAACACGGCGCGGATCACCCACCCTGTATAAGTTTGTGCGTGCCTTAGTCCACAAAGAAGAGTGTTCTGTGGTAAGTAATACTTGTACTAAGTAGCTGATTTATGCCGCGCCGCGCACTTTCGTAGTTGTACTACCGCATGCACGCGTGTGGGAGGGTTGCCTAATGCCTACTCGCACGGGGCCATAAAGGGGATCGTGAGCCAGCGAGC